TGCAGATTGGAGGCAGTCTGGGCTGCAGTGATCATCTGCTGCTGGAGTTCACAATCCTGAGGGATATGGGTCAGGGGAAGAATAAAGTCAGGCCCTTGAATTTTAGGAAAGCAAAATTCCAGCTTTTCAAGGAGTTTGTCAAGAGGACCCCCTGGGACAAGGGAACAAGAGGACACAAAAGAGCTGGCAGATCTATAAAGATAATATCTAAGTTTCCTTAGAGTACAAGAGCTTTCGATCCCCGGGTGCATGAAATCAGGAAAGGAAGGCAAGAGTCCAGCACAGATGAGTCAAGACCTGCTGGTCAAACTAAAGGGCAAGAAGGAAAAGCACAGGCAGTGGAAGCAGGGACAGGTATCCTGGGGAGAGGATAGGGAAGCTGCTGGGTTGTGTAGGGGTGGGATCAGCAAGGCCAAGGTGCAACTGCAGCTAAGCTTGACAAAGGACACAAAGAATAATAAGAGGGCTTCTACAGGTATGTCAGCCAGAAAAGGAAGGTCAAGGAAAGCATACACCCTCTCATGAGCAAGACTGGCAAACTGGTAACAAAAGACAAGGAGAAGGCTGAGGTACGCGGCAACTTTTTTGCCTCAGTCTTCACTGGCAACTTCTCTCCCTGACACACCTCTTGAGTGGATGGACCACAAGGCGGGGAGTGGAGGAGCAAAGTCTTTCCCACTGGGAGATAAGATCAGGTTTGAGACCACCTGAGGAACCTGACCCCTGACACACCTCTTGAGTGGATGGACCACAAGGCGGGGAGTGGAGGAGGAAAGGCTTTCCCACTGGGAGATAAGATCAGGTTTGAGACCACCTGAGGAACCTGACCATATCTAAGTCTATGGGACATCTCAGAGCCATGAGGGCATTGGCTGCCAAGGCTCTTTCCATGATATTTGAAAAGTCATAGCAGTCAGGAGAAGCCCTCGGTGACTGGGAAAAAGGCAAACATTGTGCCCATTTTTAAAAAGGGTAGAAAGGAGGACCCTGGGAATTACTGACCTGTCAGCCTCACCTCTGCGGCTGGGAAGATCCTAGAAGGCACACGTTAAGGCACATGGAGGACAGGGATGTGATTCAAGACAGGCAAATGGCTGTCTTTGGCTTCACCAAGAACAAGTCTTGCCTCACCAAGCTAGTGGCTTTCTGTGATGGAGTGACTCACTCAGTGGACAAGGGAAGAGCTATGGATGTTGTCTACATGTAAGGCCTTTGACACAGTTCCCCACAACATCCTTCTTTCTAAATTGGAGCTATATGGATTTGATTTGTGGATGTTTCTGTGATGGAGTGACTCACTCAGTGGACAAGGGAAGAGCTATGGATGTTGTCTACATGTAAGGCCTTTGACACAGTTCCCCACAACATCCTTCTTTCTAAATTGGAGCTATATGGATTTGATTTGTGGATGAGGAATTGGCTGGCTGCATCCAGAGAGTAGTGGTCAATGGCTCAGTGTCCAGATGGACATTAGTGATGTGTCCCTCAGGGGCCTGTATGGAGACCAGTCCTGTTCAATATCATCATCAATGACATAGACAGTGAGATCAAGTGCACCCTGAGCAAGTTTGCAGGTGACACCAAGCTGAGTGGCCTGGTTGACATGCCTTGAGGGACGGGATGTCCTCCAGAGGAACCTGGCCAAGCTCAAGAAGTGGGCCTGTGTGAACCTCATGAGGTTCAATGGGGCCGGGTGCAGGGTCCTGCACATGGGATGGGGCAAGCCCTGGTACCAATACAGGCTGGAAGAGGAAGGGCTACGGAGCAGCCCTACCAAGATGGACTTGGGGATACTGGTGGTTGAAAAGCTGGACGTGAGCTGGCAACGTGGGCTTGCAGCCCAGAAAGCCAAGCATGTCCTGGCCTGCATAAAAGAAGCGTGGTCAGTGGGTCGAGAGAGGTGATTGTGCCCCTCTCCTCCTCTCTGGAGAGATCCCACCTAGAGCCCTGCGTCCAGCTGTGGAGTCCTCAGGAGAGGAAAGACATGGACCTACTGGAGCAGCTCCAGAGAAGGGCCACCTAAATGATGAGAGGGATGGAGCACCTGTCTGGTGAGGACAGGCTGAGGTAGAGATGGCTGGAGTTGTCAGTGTGGAGAAGAGAAGGCTGCGGGGAGACCTTCTTGTGGCCTTTGAATACTGAAAGAGATCTTATAAGAAAGATGGGGTCAAACTGCTTAGGAGGGCTTGTTGTGATAGGACAAGGGGTAATGGTTTTAAACTAAAAGAGGGTAGATTCAGGCTAGATATAAGGAAGAAATTTTTTATAAGGGTCGTGGTGAAACACTAGCACAGGTTTCCCAGAGAGGTGGTAGATGCCCCATCCCTGGCAACATTCAAGGTCAGGTTGGACAGGGCTCTGAGCAACCTGCTCTAGTTGAAAAGGTCCCTGCTTATTGCTGAGGGGTAGGACTAGATGATGTTCAGAGGTCCCTTCCAACCCAAAGTACTCTATAATTCTATGAAATTTCTATGATTCCATCAATATTATCCCATAATTTGTATTTCTTCATTAACTAAGGCCATTTTTCATCATGTTCAATTTTTGACTACTCATAAGACAACAGCAGAGAGGAAGCCTTGTTCACTCTTTTATTTTTGTTCAGCAAAAAAGTTGCCATACTCTTACTAAAAGAACTGCAACATAATGGAATCTTCTAATTTTGTGCACCTGGCAATGAACCCTTTCAATTTGGCACAAGACATTTAAGATAACTGCATGATGCAGAAGTAGGAAAACCAGAGCTAAAAGCCAATTACACTGATCAGGTCACAAACTAGAAATGAAAATTTGAGACTTATCTCACAGGGTGTAAAATATCAGGGAGCTTTTTGTCTCTTACAATTAAAACTTCAGTCTGTACCTTGAAGGGTATCAGTATCAGGCTATACTTCGCCACACATCTGAGAAAATCTTAGCTGAAAGTACTGTTTTTGCAGTTATAAGCAACAGGAAACAACTTTGGAATAAAAAATGATGGGGCACCTTAACTGCTATGGCAGTACTTGCAGTCACGAAGTCAGTCATGCTGACTTGTAAGCCAAAGCAATTAGCTGTACTTGGAATTCAGTATGAGTGTTTTCCTGAGTGAGGACCAACTGCAGCTCTGTGGTTAACAGAAGCTGATTTTAACTTCATAAATAACTATCTTTAGTGTAATTTTGCTTCTATTGGGGAATTCCAACTAGAAAAAAAACCCCAATGATTTTAATGTTTTTATAAATATGCATAAACAAATGTAAACTATGTTTCAATTTAAATTGCTAATAGTATTTATCTGTAGATTTGGCTTTTGCTTACAGAATCTGAGACCTTTAGATTCAGAAGTCTGAATTCAGGAAAAGCTGACTTCATTCTGCTTATTTCCAGTTGTTTAACAGTCACAGCAAAGCTGGAGAGGGGGTTACCAGACAGAATACAACCTAGAAAACCCGAGAACAGGTAACGCAGCACAGCTTCCCGAAGGGATAGGGAAACAGTACTTACATAAGCAGCAGTCCAGTCCCTGCAGCCTGGTGGGTGCTGCACATCCAGCGCTGAGGAAACATGGCACCTTACACAACTCAGGGTTGTGTAAGCTCACTAGAATGTTATGTGTCCCATCTTTATGTGTTTCCACCTATGCTGTTACTTGGGATCAACTTTCATTACAGTTAAATTATATAATCCCTTGTATAGACATGGGTAATCGAATTTCCCACAGAAGGGTTATCTCGTTCACCCTCCCCCAATGCCCCCGGTGTTTTCACATGTGTCCATTCTGTGCAGTATCCATCTGTATACTGTTGTCTCTGAAGTGACTTGCTCATCTTCTGGACTGTGTATTCTCAAACAACCTGGTCATTTTTGGACTGCATATTTTCTAGGATTAACCTGGTCATTTTTGGGTTATATATTTTTCTAGATAATCTGGTAATCTATGGACATTGTGATACATTTTTCTTCTTTGGATGCAGACCAATGTTCTTTTAAGAGACTGTCTTACTGATGCTTTTCCAGATGTGGTTTGTGATAGCTCTAATACAATCTTGCTTATGCAAGAGGACCCACTTGTCTCACGGCCTGTGGAAATCCAGGTCACCTATCGACAGTGAAAGAATATGTCTAAAAAGTATCTTTCAAATGACTTGTTACTAACATTTTAATGTGTATCTACTTATGATAACACGAATGGTTGTTATTTAACGCATTAACTTATAATTATTTTAATTCCTTTCAGCCTGTGACACGCTCTCCAGAAGAATACCATGCCCGTCTGATTTTGTAGGGCGGATTTCATTCAGCCTCTCATGCTGTCGTTGTTTGGCATCACAGATGCTTCCATCTGGGGCTTGAAATCTCTCGGTAGAGATCTTTCAGGAGAAACCCTCCCGCTGGTGCCACAAGGCACCAACAGAAGGGCAGCAGAGGGTGGGCTTCTCCCTCCTCTCCCCCCACTGACCCCTGCCGTCCTCTTGTCCCGGGGTCTCTCAAAATGATTACCCGCTCGCTTGGCTTGATACCCTGGGGATGAAGAAGGTGAGGACACCCCAGTCTCCATCTGGCACTGCCATTTCCCACAGATCTGTTCCCTCAGACCCGCTCCAGGGATGCCATACCCCAGTAGCGCCTGGGATCGCCCCAGCGCCGTGCCCACGGGCCAGCAGCCCTGCAGGAGGGGAACAGCCACCCTCCTCTCCCAACAGCCGCGGCGTTCGCCATGGGCTCCTCACCGCCGCCCCGGGCCGCCCTGCACCGCGGGGGCGGGGAGCGGGCCGCAGGGTGCACCGGGACCGACCAGCGGCCTGGCTGGGGGCGGGGGGGCCCGGCGCGACG